ACGCAGTGGTGTCTAGGGGGGGGGGGGGGGGTAGTATACTTCCTGCGAGACTACGATCAAGGGCGTCGGTCTGACGCTTTTGTCTTCTGCGGGGGAGGCTGCAGACGGGCAGGATGTTGGGACGGGGACGAGGAGGGCCAGGACGGTTTAGTGCCCCTGATGAAAACAGGGTCATGGGGACAAAGGTTTGCATAGATCGTGTTTGAAGACAAGGCAAAAAACCAAGTGGAAAGACTATCGCCTCACACACAAATCACTCCTTAGAATCCACTTTTCCCCTGCCGTGACTTCTTTTCCTTCGTGGAGCATGCAATCGTCGCCGTGTTTATGTAACAGCAACATGCCCGTCTCAGGGCTGATGGGGATGGCTTCTTTCTTGGTTTGTCGATCGTTTGGGTAGAACACTGTTTCGCCTCCTACGCAACCGTCGGTGGAGGAGGTGAGGTAGAGGAGAAGGGTCCAGGTGGTTTTGACTGGTAGAGAGGGGTTCTCAGGGGTAGAAAGGGTAAGGTTGTTTGAGTCGTCATCTGAGAAGTGCTGTCAGTCAACTTCCTCAAGGGTCTGGCCAAGAGCGGCTCCCAAGTCCGATGACAGGGAGAAGAGGTTGTGATGATGTGTTGATTGTCTTGGATATGATGTGGTGATCGTCGTTTGTGGTTCAAGATGGAAAAAGAAACGACAGATTTGCGGTTGTGTCGGATCTTTTAGGCGAACTCGGTTCGTGCATGTCTCACTAGACCACCCTTTCTTTGTGTGGGAAAAACTGGCGATTGGACCAGGATTTGGATGGGAAATATATGCATGACATGACTTACAATGCGCATCAAAAAACTGTCCAGGCGTGTACCGATACACTCTGATATTCGGATTCAACCCTACGACTTCCCCTCCCCTGATTCACAGCATGTCAGTACCACATAATATTCTAGGCCATGTCTCACAGAGGCTCACCACAAATGAGCCAGATCCGGATTGTCCAGAACGGCCTCCTTCAGCCCGGTTTCGCTCCATAATCTTTCTGCAAAGAGTGGGTCCTGGACCTGGAACCTGTCATTTACCCTGACGGCCATCCCCCGCTTGGGTTTGCCTGGGGTTGTAGTCAGGGGAAGGGTCCGCAGGAACGAGACATAGTCACGGCACAGGTTCTTGGGGAAGAATGACCGGAGGACGACGACTTTGTCCTGGATCGGGGAATCGAAGTCGAGGCTGACTACCGGTAGAGGCGGTCTAAACACCGGCCAGTCAGGGGGCGTCTGTTTGGTGGTGGTGGTGGCGGCGGCGGGGGAGGAAGAGGGGGTTTGCTTCTTGGGGTGCTTGTCTTTTGCCATGATGGACAGTAGTGGACGGTGGCAGACGGATTGGCTTCCTCTAGTGCCGTGCCGATGAAGGTGACACGTCAAGTCAAGAGACAATGGCTGACAGTTGGGTGATAGTAATTGGCTGGTAGAGTGTCTTCGGTGTCGTTATGGTGATTGCTTGTCCGAGATGGCTGCTGTCTGCATTAGCATGTCGTCTGATATCTGAGCAGCGGCATGCATGTAGCGACCCGGCGCGCTTCCCAGTTTTCCAAGGATGTCCCGTTCCGGACCATTGGTCTACCCAAGCATGTCTCACTTCTCAGCCTCTGAGACTGCAGGTGGCTCTAGTTGGTGACACTGTTCGTTGACTGACAGGAGGAACGGCAGGGGAACATCCTATTGGGGGATGGGATATGCCTGGCAGCTTGTGGCGTGTCAATTGTCTCATAGAGAGAGGGGGGGAGAGAGATGTGTACCTGGGGTGTGCCGCGACCAAAGCGACAACCGACGAGAGTGGTGAGATGCTCGTACCCTTGTTACTGGTGCCATAGTTCACGAACGAGGTCGATCTGAGGTCGATTCCAGCGGGTGCGCCAAGGCGCCTCGATAACGTTAAATGCATCGCCCCGCGAAATAGCACGCCAGGGAACAGGGGGTGACAGCGCCGGCCAATGACAGGCCAAGACATTCCGAGACACCAGACCAATCTTTTCCAAAGCTCCAACGACAGCTTTTCAGAACTCACATCCACACCATCGACAAATCGCGACGCTGTGTCCATTCTTTTTCTGGGGCTGTCGGTCCGTCTCTCCTTTCGCCTTCTCTCGCTCCCAAATGCCGCTCCTCAGTTTCCTCGCCAGTAAGCTGCTCGGCGTCGAGCCAGCCTCGGAACAGGCAAAGAAACAACAGAATCTCAATGTATCAACAACAATAACAACAACAGCAACAGCGGTGCCTTCAACGGCAAGCCCCACTGGCCCACAACCGGTGCCCACATCCGCACCGACACCACCATCAGACAAAGCTACGGCGCCAGCTACATCACCGAGACCAAGCCAGCAGCCCTATGAGCGACCGCCATACCCCCCTGTCTTTTCGGAACGCTCACTCCGGCAAATGGGCTTGATGGCCGCCGGCGGTGGCTTTCTGGCCCTCTCCATCCTCGTCACAAGACGGGCCATTGCCAGGCAGATGATCATGTCCCGGCTCAAGTACTACTCATCCAACCCAATAGCGCTGCCGTCGCAGCCGTTGAAGAGGGATCCCTTGATTGCCTTCACCGCCCTGAACTATGCAACTCTGAATACCATGGCCTTTGGCATCATGTTTGTGGGAGGGTTGTCGTGGGCATTCAACATCTCGACTCTGGAAGAGCTGAGACAAGCCTCGCGGTACTCCATGGCCCGGTCCATCAGCTCGGCCATGGGAGGTGAGGAGGACAAGGAAGCCGAGAAGGAGCTCGTCGAGTGGATGGCAAAGCAGCTCAACATGGATCTGCCCAAGAAACCAGAAGATGGATCGCCGGCATCACCTCCGGCGGATGATAAGCCAACCAAGACACCCTGATGGACAGCCAGCTTGGAAAGGATTGGCTCTGAAGGGGAAAAAAAAATATCAACGACAGCACAACGCTAGTGTAAAATCTAGCCTGGGCTGTACGATAGATCTTTTTCCGATGTAGATGGTCTAACGGCACACACACATAACGAACCGGGGTCAGCCACATACGCCCTCGTCATGCAGGCGTGCATGATTGAATCAGGAAAACGCAGCTGTTAGATCAATCCATCTCGACTCTCCTGACGCCATCTTCCCGCTCTTGCATTTTTCCATGTCGTGTGCCATGTCGGGTACCGCACTCGTGTTATAAATATGCCCCATCATGGCCATGCTGTCTGTCAGTCCCCGTTTTGTCTGGACCGTCCAGCCTCTCTGATACACATATCCTTTCTGGGTGGGATCTTGCTTTTTTATTCTGGTGATATCCTGCTATTTGATCCTTGTTTGATTTTGAAACACATTCTCGCCATGTCACCCTTTGAAATTCGAGTCCATTGCTACACCCTCGAAAACCCCAGCAATGAGCACCACCACCTCGAATCCCCGATCAACATTCTCTCTTCGTTGACTGCCGATCCCCCACCCAGCCATATCATCACTCGAGCAAGAGGAGGAACTCGCGACAACCACGTCGCCTACATCTCCATCTCTTCGCTCATCGTGACCCAGCCTTTTGAGCGTCGGTCATACTGCCATGGAATTGTGGAGTCTGACAGCCCTTGGCCGAGTGAAAAGGGGGACAAGGTCTGGCTGAGAAGCGATATACCGTTGCTGGTGGGGCATAAAGGGGTACCGGTGTATAACATCACCAAGGGCGTGTGTTGCGAGGTTTGGTATGCCAGCGTTCGTTCCTTCCAGTTCCCACCCTGACTAGCTGGTTCCTTCCTGCCGTTTGCTCCCCTCACCCTTGCCCCTTCCCACATTCATGTGTGGCTCCTTCCCACATTCATGTGTGGCTCCTTCCCACATTCATGTGTGGCTCCTTCCCACATTCATGTGTGGCTCCTTCCGCCAGTGCTGTTTCAAGCCGTGGCTCCTTCCCACCATGGCCCTTCACCCAGCGTTGCTCCTGCCAAAACAACACTTGCACTTTTGGTTCCTTCCCCACATTATTACCCCTTTAAACACACATTAGCACATTTACCCCTTTGACACATTTCCACATTCCCACGTTCCCCCCGTCCCCCCTTTCCAACCGGCACAACCCCCCGCCCTCCACTTCCCGCCCAATATCACTTTGAAACATCGACATCTCTCTGACAAACCTCTGTTCAACAACCAGGATCGACAGCGTCGGCTGGCGCTGGGACAAACAGTCCATCTCATCCGCACCACAAGCCAGACGCCCCGACCCAAGGAAGCTGATCCTAGCAGGACCGGCAAGGAACGGGGGTGTAGGAACCGGTATCATGAGCAGGGATGACGACAGCGCGGCAAAGATGCAGATGGCGATTATCTCTGCCGGGGAAGGGTCTCCAACGCGAGATGAGGGAAAGATTCAAGGCGGTCAGGTGTTACGGGGTGGGTATCGCCACCACCACCACCAGCAACAAACTCAAAACCAGATTCGGTGTTTAACCGTCAGGGAGCTGGAGGAGGGGTGGGAGGATGTCATTGGGAAGAGGGTAAGTTTCCTGCCTACCTACGCGGAACACAATATTTTGGACGTGAGAAAAGGGGCTAACATTGTGTTGTTGGTAGGGCACCCTTCTGGCCTCGGGGTCGAATAATGGGGGTGAGAATGTCAAGGTCAAAAGGAGGGCGGTGGTGAAGAAGATGCCAATGTAAAAATGCCACAGTGAAGATTTGATATAAAGGGAAGCTAATAGTTGACATAATCTTTTATAAAAGCCACTTTCATCAAACAGTGACAAAACCCAAAACAAATGACATCAAACTCCATTCCCCAACTCCAAAAAAGACCCGTACAAAATAAAAACTTTCCATCAAGCTCTTAGAAACCCAGGACTCTGCTCACTCGCCCCGCTCACCCCGGTCCTGTCGGCCCAGGTGATATCCACCACCGCCCTCTCCGTATCCCACGGCACAACGCTCGCCCACCTCGGCCACCGCCTCACAAAAACTCTGTTCACCGCCCTGGCCAGGGCACTGGCCGGAAACGCGAGAACCCCCCAGTTCGCCCACGCCGCCGCCCTCGTATTTTTGCTAGCAAACGGCTCGAGCATATCATTGACGAATGCCCTCCTCCAGTTGTTATTTGACAGCCAGATCCGCCGTTCTTGGTCCAGCGCTAGATACAGCACCGAGGAGAAAACAGTCGTGAGGATAGACAGGCAAATGATAAGCGAGGCGGGGGAGGCAGTATGGGTAGATAACTTGAAGGGTGCCGGTCTGGGAGGGGGGGGAGGAAAGGATGCATCGTCGGCAACAGAGGGGGCGGGGGTGGGGGTTTTCCGGAAGGCAAAGGGGTCGACTGGGGGGGTTTCTTCCGTCTTCGCTTGTGGCTCTGGCTTGGGGGGAGGACCGCCATCGCGGCGCATGGGGAATTCGGTACTTTCTGACCTCTCGTCCACGTCGGAAGCGGAGGCTCTTCTGAAGGGGTTGGAGAAGGAGTCCAGGGAGGGGATGTACGATGCTGTGGAGAGGCGGCGCGGTGGGGATGAGCGTTCACTCCTCGGACTCGGGACGCTGGTGGGGGTTCTGGGACGGGAGGGGGGGACTCTGGTCGAGCTGGTGGGGGGGGAAGGGATGTTGAAGGTAGGAGGGGTGAAGGTAGGGGGGTGGTAGTTTTCGGCGTAATTTTTGGGGAAGAAGCGCCAGTGGATGTACCTGAACAAGTATTTCACCCAGGCGAAGGCGTAGCCGACCATGTCGAAGGGGGTGGTGAGGATGAGGAGGATGGTGGAGTAGAACTCTGCTGGGGCGGAGAGGGCAAAGAGGATGACCCAGAGGAAGGAGGTCAAGATATGGCAGATGACTGTGGGGACGGTGGTGGAGGCGGAAAAGACGCCATGGCCGTGGTGGCCTTGACAAGTGCGGCGGCTTCGTCGGGTTGACGTGCGGTTGCTCGCCAGTGAAGGGTCGTCGGGCTTCACTGGCTGCGTTTCCGCGTTGGTGCCCTCTTCAATGACGGTCACCATCTGACCATGCCCGCAACAGCCGTCACTGAGGGCATTGTAATACAGCTTTGGCGCGAAGTACTTGAGCAGGGAGCAGAAACAAGCCGCCTCGGCGTGTTTGCTGTGGGTTTTGGTAGAGTAAAGATGCATCACCTTTTCCCGAATCAGAGACTCAATACGCCGGCGGCGGGTGGCGTATTGATCTTCAACAGCATCCTGGTTGACGAGGATGTTGGTAGTGACGACTTCGAGCGGCGACTTGAGCGTGTCTTTGAGAGACAGGTCCTCGACAGGGTCGTGACGGAGAATTTTCTTGAGTCGTCTCACGCGGGCCTCAAGTAGAATCTTATCGTCCATGTCATTCCTGTCGGCGATCTTCTTCTTGAGTGTCTTGATCAGCTGCTTGAGCGGTTCAATATAATCAGGTTTGAAAACACCGTCCACCCATTCGCTGTAGTCATTGACCCATTTCTCGAGCTCGTTAGTGATCCCACTCAACTTGACCTCGCGCTTGATGACTGGGGCAACCTCCCATACCAGATCCTCAAAATAGTCTGCGCTTCTGCCGCTGTCCAGATGTCGCTTTACGCAGCCGTCGACGTAGAACTCCTCCTCTGTCGAAAGTTTCGTTCCCAGCAGTTCCGTCTCAAGCTCATTATACCTGGTTCTCAGCTCGTCTCCTTCTTCGTGTCTCTTGATCACCACCTCCAGAGCATCCGCGAACTTGGACGTAAGATAGCGCTCATATTCTATCGTGCCCTTCCGGGCCTCGATTTGCGAGGCGATACCCTGTTTGCATTCTTGCAACCAATTCAAGCACAGGACCGCGTCCCAGCCCGGGTTGACGCATAACTGAAATTCCTTGTACGCTCTACAAACGTAGAAAAGCTCGTGCTCCTTCCGGCTAGTGGGGGCGAGAAGAGTATAAGGGGGCTGCCCGGTGACCTCGAAAACTTTCTTTAAAGCCGTCTTCATCTCTGGCTCGTATCGTTGGAGCAAGGGTTTCAGGAATGAGTTGTCTAGCTTTCGATTGTCTTCATCGGTAACCATAGTGACGTGTCCCAAGATTGTGATGAACCCTTCAAGCACCTTGTATAGATCAGGGTTGAAACGATCGTCGAACGGGAAATCCTCTTCAGGGCCACGGGGAGTTGAGGGGGAGGAGCCACCGGAAGCTATGGAAGGTGATTTGGCGTGGGATTCCTTGGGCACTGAGGGCTTTGGAGCCTCTGGAGACTTCTTAGCATCGCCGGGTGACTGCGGCTCCCTGGGTGGGGATGAAAGAGCACCCTTCGGCGATGGAGAATTCCCCTCCTCAGACGCGCGTATGACCGCTTCGAGCTTTGCAAGATTCGCAGAATGAACGCTGCTTATCTCATGCTCGAATGGATAAGTGTTAGGAGATGTCTCTGGATCCCCCGTTTTCTCGATGTCAGTACATATAACCTGTCCGATGGGAGATGGGATACTCACCCGGTGCATTCTTTTCAGGCTCGTCCACGAAAACCAGGTTAGGCGGTGCCTTCCTCTGCGTCACACGTCTGCCCGTTATCAGCGGCGACCGTTCTTCCCTTGGCTTCTTTGAAGGAGTCACGGGCTCGGGCTTGCGCCTGGAAGCCTTCTCCGCAGTGTCTTTCCGTCGGTACTGATGCTGTAGCCGTTCAATGCTGGATGCAATCATATCTCCCTCGTGCCTCAGAGCAGTAGGCGACCCAAGCCCGGACCGCACGCGGGACCGCCACCCAAGAAGCATCTCGTTGAGCCCTTCCAGCTCTTTGATCATGTTCCGAGCCGCATCACGAGTTTCTTTTGCCTCCTTTAGGCCCGGCTCCTGCTCCTCTTTGTCTTTCGCCGGGCTGTTGAACACATCGTACATGGAGTTGACCAGATCGGCCAGCCCGCTCACAGTCTCGGGAGACGGATTCTGGTTCTTCTTGAGTTTGCCGGCCTGTTCCAGGATCGGTTTGGCCTTTTCCGCACTCTCACGATGCTGATCTACGTTCGCTTCGGTCTGGTTGATCAACTGGTCAAGCCTGTTGAGCTGGGGAATGTATGCTCTGCTCGCCCTGCCGAAGTTCTCCACTTGCTGGCGAATTTGATTGATCTGGTTGTCGCTGTCAACCTCGAGCCGCCTGACCTTCTTTTCCAACTCCTCGGCTCGCCGCTTGACTCTGTCGTACTGTTCCCAAAGGTCCTTCAATTCTTGTTCCTTCTTTTGAAGCTTCCCAGACATCTCTGACCGCTGCTCTGACAGCATATCCCGCAAGTGCCGAATTTCGGCTTGCACCTTCTCCTTCTCCTTCTTGAGGGTTTCTTCATTCCCTTCTCTCAAGACCTGCATGGCAGTTTCCAGGTGGTTACTGGCGGCCTTTATATCTTCATTTTCGGCTTTCAACACGGCGTTCTCATCCTTCAGCTCCTTCATCCACTCTTCATATTGCGCCTTTTGCGCTTGGAGACCAGCGGCAGTCACTGTGACAGATTCGATGGCACCCGTTGAAGTGAGCTCGGCCGCTGGGTTGATAGCCTCGAGAGCAGCCCTGAGTCGCGCAACCTTGTCTTCCAGTTTCCCGACCCTGGCTTGCGCCGCTTCTGCTTTGTCTTCGGCACGGGTGATATTTGCCAAGTAATCGTCCCGTTCTTTTCTCGCAATATCGTCGCTCATAGTGTGGACAACCCGGCCGTCTTCGATCACGGTGCCGCCAGGAGTTGTCTGCAGACTCTTCCTACTGCTTAGAGTCTGGTTCAACCTCCGATTCTCGACCTGTTTGACTCTCAGTTGTTGGGTCAGGTCCTTGACCTGGTCCTCCAAGTCATGGTTCATGTCCTCCAAATTTCCGATGAGATCCTCGGCCTCTTTGTTTTGGTCCTTCAGGTGGTAGTTTTCGTTGGTCAACACTGAATTCTGTTCCCTCAACACGTCCCGTTCCACCCGCATATCCGTCAGCTTTTTACACATAACGCTCCCGCTTCGCAGAGTGTTCATCCAGCCTTTCATCGCACGGTCGTAGTCTAGTTCGAGAAATCTGAAGCACGTAACAATAGGCTCATTATCGTTGTAGTCAAACCATTTGCCAACCACCTTGCTTGCTTTGATACTTTTCCAGAAGCCCTCGATAGGAGGATCGGTGGCAGTGGCCAGCAGCTCGCTGAGCCTTGACTCCCCGGCTTTGCTCCACGAGCTGAGGTTCCAAGGATCATAGGAATACCTAATTTTATATATGCTCTCGGATTCTCTGGCATTTGGACGCCTAGGTCGAGCTGGCCGGCGTGGGGGGGTGCTCATGGTTCCCATCTCTGGTGAAGCGCGCGCTTCCAGGGCTTGCGAGTCATGGTGGTCCCCAGACATTGTCGCAGAGCTTTTTGCTGGTTGTAGACGTGTAGAATAAGCAGGCGGCTGGTAACCAAATAACTCGCACCGAGAAAACAAAACCCGGTGACATTTGCGAGAGCGAAGGTCAGGAGCTTCATATCAAGCAGCACCGAACAAACACGGGAAACTGGTGGACTGCACAATGAACGGAGCAACTGGACAAAGAAGCGTTGCGGTCTTTTGCCGCCCAAGTTTCGCGACATCATCGCGTTACAGACAAAGACTTTGGGCCTGTAGATGCTTGCGGATGCAGGCCCAGAGCTTTCCACTCGAACAACTAAAACAAAGAACACTTCCCCCGCCCGATACCGGTCAAATTGTAAGTAGCTGTACCAAAGCGGCTAACCAAACACGGGCAACTTACTGGTAACTAATTACACGGCCAGGAATTTCCAAAGCCATAGCTCTTCCTCCATACGTACCACACAGCAAAAATCGTCCACAGCTCTGGTGTTGCAAACCCTCAGCACACTCAATGTCGCGTCAATAATACCAACCACGTGCGCCAGGTCCAGTCTGGTCCTCTTCTTGACGGTGTGGTATTATAGGCTGCTTGATGCCAAAAGCCTCGATGATAGCGCTCCACATCTCCATGTCGATTGACATGATAGCCTGATGTCTCATAGGCGCTCTGGCTCGTGATGCCGACTCGGCCTCGTCATCTCGTGCCTTGTACGGCACTGTCACTCAGTGTCAGCATCTTTCACGGTCCGCGCAAGGCTTCAGGATTGTCACGTACCAATACCTGGCAGGCCATTGCCGTCAAATTTGAGCTCGATATTGCCCTCGTGCAGCAAGAAACTGACGTAGAACATGTTCTCTACTGTTTGGCCATACGAATGTGGGTTGATTACGAAGCGTAACAGATCCACATTGCCACTGCCGTTAAGACCAAGCCCATCCATCACCTGCCGCAACTGTTCTTCCGAGAGTTCAGTCCCACGGTCCGCCTCAAGTTGTCTGCACTTCTCTCGGGCCAAATCCTGAGCTTTTGATTCATGGGCTTCCAGCCGGACCAGGATGTTCTTGCAAATGGAGGGAAGATCGTTCCTGGTATTTCGCTTGAGGTCTTCTGCCCGGAGTTCCTGAGGTCGTACCTCTATAAGATTGCTGACTTTGAAAGGCGCTGACCGTTTGGTGACCTTTCGGGCCTTCTTCTCTATCGAAAGCGGCCCCAACAGGAACCCTGGCACGGGAGGCCTAAGGATGGCTGGTATCGCGGCGTAGCGACCGAGGTGTGTCCAGTTGGCCATGTCGCCTTCGTCGCCGATATCCTCCTCGTCGCTGCCCAGAGCTCCACGAGGCTGTCTCCTCCTTCTTTGGGTGTTTGATAACTCGGCAGCCTCGTCGTTCTCGATACCACCGCCGTTCCGCATAAACGTAGAAGCCTTAGATATAAATTCATCCAAGTCAAGACCGCCGACGTTTCCTTGTCCAATCTTCTGTGCTCGCTTGACACTCATGTCTGCGATCGAGACTAGGACCCTGGCGTCAATTGCCGCCTCATTGGTCTGCTTGACCCTAACCAGGGTCGCGTCCTGCTTATCAAGTATGCGAATCAACGGATTGTGATCCTCTCCGATAAGTCGGTCCTGATTCTCCTTTAATTCTCTCCATGACTCCCGCATAGACCGTTGGATCTGGCGACGCTCCTGCATTGGCTGTTCCGGGTCGTACTCATCCCCATCGCCGTGGTCCGCTTGTACTGATGGCTCTCTAACTCCGCGACGGCTGGTCGATGGGTCGCCGCCAATATCAGATGTACGTTTCCGAGAGCTTCTTGTTGGGGGCTCGTTCTCTTTACCTCGCCCACGGACGGCGAGGTGATTGCGGTCGTCCATTTTGCTAGAGATGGGATCCAAGATTAAGCCGACGATACGGCGAATGTGGTGAGTTTGGTGAAGCTTGAGCGAAAGGAAGGATAGTATTTATTACAATTATTGAACGGTAATTGAAAGTTGAGGTTGACTGGTGACGGGAACTGAAGAGGGGAGGTGGTATATCTGAAGTTGGAAGACACATTAATGAGTGGGAAGACGCGATTGCTCGCCAAGGAAAGTTTAGGCAGCTGAAGTGGGGTGTTGGTTCAGCTGGAGAAGTGGGGCAGAGCTTGTGAGCTGGAAGCGACAGGGTTCTTTTTAGTGGGCGTTTGCCCACTGAAGGGCATCTTACAGCGTGACGTTGCAGCTGCTGCCACCCGTTTGCGCAACAAGTGATTCCATCGCCGTGCAAAGACAAAGTTGCGCTTTGGTCTCCTAACGTTCTAATCAGAGAGGCGAGCTGATTGAATATAGAGAGAGACCGCGAGCTCTCCGTCACTCCCGTCGTTGTCGAAATGGAGCCCTTCTCGTTTGCCAGCTCCGACTCGCTTGATTACCCCGTCAGGATTCGTATGTGGGTTGCGCCGATGTTTCTGTTGCTGTTACTTTGCTATCATGGGCGCGGAATGTGCTGATAGAGAGTGGTGTAGCATAAACCTCGAAGGTGAAGAGGCACCTGTCTTATTTTCTACCCTCCTCGACAATCCCAACCTTCGACACATAGGATCCAACCAAAGGTCTGGCACTCCGTCCGCCCTTCTCCAAACAATGCTGATACCATCGCGTCTAGCCCCTTTTCCGATCTCTATGTCACAGTACAGGTGTGGGCAGGTTCCAAGCCGTTGACTGTCCCTGTTCAGACATCTTTCAAGACCTTTCGAGCCGAGCGCAGATGGGGCGAGTGGCTCGAACTACCTGTCACATACTCAGTCTTACCCCAGAATGCCTGCCTTGCGATAACACTTTGGGACCTTTCCCCAACGGGAGACGGACCTTATGGTCACAGAATTCCTTTCGGGGGGGCTACATTGCCGCTGTTCGATAAGGATAACCAGCTACACAAGGGTCGCCAGAAATGTCACGTCTACAGACATCTTCACGCGGACGGACACGACGACACTACAACCCCCGCTCTAGTCCCTAGGTCACGACCAAAAGACGGAACACCCGAGGACAAGGATGCCGCCGAGTTGGATCGTATGGAGACGCTATTCAAGAAGCATGAAATGGGCGAGATTCCCCGCGTGGATTGGCTGGACCAGCTTGTCTTTCGTGGATTCGAGAGGCGCGGCCTTCAGACGGCCAGGTCATCTCTCAAGGCCAAAGCCATCAGGCAAACAGAGGCTTCTCGGGATGACAAGTCCAGTGCGCAGAACGAGAAAGCGAAGCCAGAACCATCTGGGTACTTTCTGAACGTAGAGCTACCAAGATTCGACTTCCCTGTGGTCTTTGCTGACTATGAGTATCCGGCACCACCCATCTCTTCGTTCCAGCATCTTTCCTCGTCACAATCCAACATCCTACTCAAACCTCCACCAGAGGTCCATTTCGGCCCCGGTATCAGCGTCGACGACGACGAGGGCTACGAAGGCCGGCTGATCAGGGTGTATGACCCCGAGGTCGGTGCAAGAGACAACCCCGCCGAGAGCAAGCATCGCAGATTGGTCCGCAGCCAGCATCGTAATGGGATTCTGGACAAGGACCTCAAGCCAAATGCCAAGGTGCGGGATGAGCTGAATATGATCATGTCATACTCGCCAACCCACACGCTTTCGCCAGAGGAGAAGGACCTCATCTGGAAATTCCGCTATCACCTCACAAGAAACAAAAAGGCACTCACCAAGTTTGTCAAGTCGGTGAACTGGCTAGATCACTCCGAGTCGAAGCAGGCTGTTCAAGTCCTCGGGAAGTGGACGGACATTGATGTTGACGACGCCTTGGAGTTGCTTGGCCCGACGTTTGATAATTCGGCCGTGCGGGCATTTGCTGTTGAGCGATTGCGCAAAGCTGACGACAAGGAGTTACTTCTGTATCTGCTTCAGCTCGTCCAGGCGCTCAAATATGAACATATCTCGACACGGCCTGGCCATGAGGTCACACACGACTCGTCTTTGGCTCGATTCTTGATATCCCGGGCTGTTCACAGTCTTGCACTCGGCAACTACTTTTGGTGGTATCTCATGGTCGAGTGTGATGATAGTTCCATGGATCAGGGTGAGGAAACTCAAATGATTTACAAGAAGATTGCGTACGATTTCATGGCAGAGCTGGTGAAGCGCCCGGACGGGAAGGAGACCCGAAAGACGTTGCTGCGACAGGCTGAGTGGATTGCGATCCTCTCCAAGATTTCTGGGGAAGTCAAGGAGGCGAACGAATCCATCGCGAAGAGGGTAGAGCGCGTCAAGCACTTCTTGGCCGACCCCAAAAACGAGCTGGTGACCATCGACCCACCACTTCCCCTGCCCCTGGATCCTTCGATAGAAATATGCGGCGTGGTTCCGGAAGACACAGTTGTCTTCAAGTCATCATTACATCCTATCAAAGTGGCCTTCAAGACCACCTCTGGTCGGAAATACCCTATCTTGTTCAAGACCGGCGATGACCTCCGTCAGGATCAGCTCGTTATCCAGATCATCACCCTCATGGATAACCTATTGCTGAAAGAGAACCTCGACCTGAAGCTCTCCCCTTACAAGATTTTGGCCACCGGTACGAGTGCCGGCCTGTCACAGTTTGTGCCATCCATGACCTTTCAGGGCATCGCCTCCAAATACCGCGCCAACCCGGCACAGGCCTACCTCAAGCAGAACAACCCCGACGCCCAAGGGCCATTCGGCATGCGCAAGGAGAGTCTGGATACATTTGTCCGGTCGTGCGCCGGCTACTGCGTGATCACTTACATCCTCGGCGTTGGTGACCGTCACCTCGACAACCTGCTGTTAGCTCCAGACGGCCACTTCTTCCACGCCGATTTTGGGTACATCCTCGGCCGCGACCCGAAACCTTTTGCGCCCGCGATGAAGCTCTCCAAGGAGATGGTCGACTGCATGGGCGGGTCCAACTCGGAGTATTACCGGCAGTTCAAGCAGTACTGCTTCTTGGCGTATAGCGCGCTGAGGAAGAACAGCAACTTGATTCTGAACTTGTTCAGTTTGATGGTCGACGCGAACATTCCCGACATCAAGCTGGAGCCGGATAAGGCGGTGCTGAAGGTTAAGGAGAGGTTCCACTTGGAACTGAGCGAGGAGGATGCGATTAGACATTTGGAGAGGATCATGGACGACAACCTGAACGCGCTGGTGCCAGTGGTGATTGACAAGTTGCATGAGCTGGTGCAGGCTTTTAGGGCGTAGTTTAGAGACGGATTTGGTGTTCAGGTGGCGCTAGGTATGAATTTTGGGACGGAGAACCAGATATATAGTGGTGGCATTCATGTTCAGGAAGTGATGCCATCGTGCCATTCGCAGCGTCTCTTGAGCCATATGTGATCTTTACGTCTCGCCAAAAACAAAAACACCCTTCCCACTCCTAAACCCGCCCAGGGTCCCCTGAACCGCCTCCTTGAGCGTCTTCTCCTCCGTCTCCCAGTTCCACTCCACCTCCTGCACTGGGCTCTCCTTGAACTTACCCTCCCTCATCAAGTTCAAAATATCCTCAATCATCTTCTTCTTGCCCTCTGGGTTCTCCTTACCCCACTCACTCAACCAAAAGCCTTCGAACCTCAACCTCTTGAAGATCTGCGGCCCAGTCGGGAACGGGAAACTTTGTCTGCTCATCCCGCCATACGTAACCATGCACCCCTTCGGACTCAGCGCCTTCACCACAGCACTCGCCGACTTCCCCCCAACACAGTTCATCCCCAACAACAACGGCTCCTTCCCCCTCTTTGTCAGCTCCCCAAGTCGATCCCTAAAACTCCTGTCCAAGAACTCCTGCTCGGTCAGAACAACATTGGCTCCCAACCCGGTGAGCTCCTCCTTGAGCTTCTCCGTCTCTTCAGGTGTCTCCCTTTCCCGAACGACGTTGATACTCCTCAATCCCCACAACCTCCCAAACTGAACCGCCGCCCTGCCCACCCCAGAATTCGCCCCGTTTTGGAGAAACCACGCCCCCCCGGAGACGTCTTTCCCCTCGCGATACCACCGCATGCTGAGACCAACCAGATCGACATAGTCCTTCAGCATCCGATACGCACTGCACGGATTCACCGACACCGTCGCCACCTGAACGGGCGTCAAACCCTCCCTCTCGACCCTCATCAGTTTCCCCTCCGCCTCCTCAACCAAAGCATGAGTCCTAAAGGTTCCAAACCCCGTCTTGGCAGGGATAACCCAATCCCCCTTCTCCAGACCCTTCACTCCCTGCCCGACAGACAGGACCTCGAAGCAGGCCTCATTCCCCGGTACTGCCGACGGTTGGGCGGTGCCGAGGAGGGTGGTGAAGGGGGGCTTGGAGCCGTAGGTGCCCTGGATGGTGTTGACGTCTGCTGGGTTTACTGGTGCTGCGAGGGTGCGGACCAAGACGGAGCCGGAGGGGAGGGTGGGGGAGATGGAGTGGGTGTGCAGCGACAAGACGTCAATAGGTTCGCCAAAGGAGGAGAAGGTGAGGGCTTTGGATTGGTGGTAGCCGTAGGGGCCGGTGAGGTGGCGCTTTTGGGTGAGGGTAGGGGCCGCTCGGGGAGTGGCCGTGGTGAGAGCCGGACGGAGGAGTTTGCTGGTGGGGAGGCGGAGGGCCTTGGATGTTAGGCGGGGGGCTGCCATTGTGAGATTGAACGGCCGTGTGAGAGGTGAAGTGACGGCAAAGGGGCGAGGTGAGGTTGGTGAGAGTGTGTTGTGAATTGTTGACAGCAGCCTGCCCCGCTGAGAACCTGGGTGGATTGTGGAATTGCAGGGGATAGAGCTCGAGAAAGACAGCACCCAAACTGATGCTGAATACTGTAGCTTCAAGTTGCAACTCTAGTGTAAAAGAAAAGTAGCTATTGCAGTGTCAATTGAATCAGATATCTACAAACCCTCTCAACCTTATCACAACTTCCACCCGCCCAGCCGCTGCGTCGCAATCCTAACAAAAAAAAAAAAAAAAAAAAAACCCGAACCGCTCACCCGAGCCGATGACGTCTGCCTGAGCTCTCTCTCCACGGCCAGAGCTCCATAGCTCCCAGCCAATCACACCTCACTTCCCGTCCCAAGAACTCTATCTTATCATAAACCTCCATTTACAATTTCCCATGCCTATCTACATCATCTTAACTACAAATACCACCCCCATTATATGTCGCAAGCTCCCGTAATTTGACCGAAAAATCCCATCCGGCCTTCCTGCCCCCAAAGTGGCGTGACCCCTTAACACGTCCCCTCTATGTATGACATGCATCCCGAAGGTCAAAGCGGGATACGACCTTCATCACCATCCCTCCCTCCCTCACCTCTCTACCCGTCAATCATCTCCCTTAAGCCTTGGCTTGGGCGTGATTATCACTTCTTATACCAATCATATCATAATACACACGAAAAGTTGAGAAAGAAAACAAACCCCCCAAACTCAGATTCTCATTCCACCCCCCAATAACTATGCTCAGCTGCTAAAAATATGGTATAAAACGAAGTTGAAAAAAAGCCATGAAATCGTAAAGTTGTCGCGCTCTGAACCTTCCCCCCCCAAACTGCGCATCCCTCCCCTTGTCAAAAAGCTATGTATGTATCGTCCTCAAAAATAACAAATTCCCCTCCCTCCTCCCCATGAGAAAGAAGAAGAAAAGGTTCTCCCGCTTTTGGCAACCTGATGTGTGCAAGAGGGAAAAAAAAAGCGTGTTCGTGAAACAAAACCAGGAATAGACCAGCAGAAAAAGAAGGCGTGCCAGCCCAATCAAAAGCAAAGAGTCGTACACCTCAAGATAAGGCAACAGAGAGACATGACAGGAAAAAAACAAAAAAAGAAAGAAAAACATGACAGAATGGGGTAGTAAACATCAATGAAATCGTCAGTCGCAAATTCAGACTGCCCGTTTACAAAGAAACGAGCCCGGGTATCTTCAATCAACATGTCGCAAATTCACCCATCCCCCTAGCTTCCACGGTATTTTTCCAGGATATAATTCCATTCTTTGCTTGTCCCTTACAGGGCTGTCCCAAGACGGTTGGTTGATGTGTTTTTGTGGTGCGTTGCATGGCTTATTTGATGTCCTTGAACAGATCGCTGCCAAAGCCATCCTCGTCCTTGGCGTCGTCGCTCGACTTGAGCTCCGTCAGTTCCGGGATCATTGGTGGCGGGGGCCCGGTGGGCTTCTTCTCGTCTGTCGCGGGCGGAGGAAGTGGAGTTTTGTCGCTCCGGAATCTGCTAAACCAGCCACTCGACCGCTTCACTTTCCGAGAATCGGCCACACTGCTGGCGCCCCTGCTAGGAGGCCGCGATGTCCTTTTGCTCGCTTCCACTCCCTCTCCCTCCACATAGGCCGAGTTCAAAAGCCCGCGGCTAAAGAGGCGGCGAATGCTTCCGGGTCGCGCCGACAAGGTTGGGGAGGCGGGATTGTCTTCGGCCGGGCGTTTTACACCGGCAGTAGTAGCGATGGGTGGGACAGGAGCCGCAGCAGCAGCAGCAGCAGCAGCAGCGGCGGCGGCGGCCGTTGTGTTGCCATTCGACTTGACGGCCTCTTTCGGGGTGTCTGGCGGCGTGGGGACGGCCTCCTCTCGTATCGGCGAAGGGAGGGGCGGAGGGATGTCCGTTCCGTCGGTCAGCGCGCCAAACTTCAGGTCGAGGGCTGGAAGCTCAAAGCGCTTGGTTGCAGTGCCATTCGCAGGCTTCGCAGCAGCGGCGGTGTCCTTCTTTGATGGCATGTCGGGTTTGTCTTCGGAGACGGGTCTCGCCCAGAGCAGGTTGAATATGTTAAAGGTGAACGAGTGGGCAAGTTGTTTACCGAATGGCAGTGTTGGGATCGTCCGAGCGCCAGTGGTAATGGCGAGGGCAGTCGAATTGGATTGGTCCGCTACGGGGCGACTCGCACTACTAGACATCGGGATGTCGGAGGAATTGATGGCGTGTGATGGATACAGAAGCTCTGGAAACCGAACGGGAAAGAGGCGAAGGCCTGAGCGAGCGTGTTTGGTGTTGACAGGTGGGCTGGGCGAGCGATAGGTTTGTCTGGGTGGCCGCGCGGGATGTTTTGGTGCCGAGAGCGTTGGAGGAAACGAAACGTTGACACGGGAAACAAATGCAACGTTCGAGAGCCGGCAGGCAGGCAGGCAGGCAGGCGAGTTGTTGGTTGACCGTCGTAAAATATCGAGGTGGCGTCCGGTGAGAAACGAGTGAACGACGAGTGAATGACTGTGATGGTCGCGCTGGACCTGTGTGTGTCCGGAGGGCCTTCAGATGATAATGAATGGCTCTCCGAGAGAAAGTGATGGTGAGGTAAAAGTCTGGTGAACCCTTGTTGAAAAGAAGGAGGACCTGGACAGGAAGGAGAGAATGCTCCCTCAGCTCAAAAGGGAAAACACCCCTGGATCAGTGATGGTGCCCTGCAGAATTGCACCTCCGAGCCAAGCTAAACCTGTCAATTCCAATTGACTGGCAGGACTCCGCTAGAATGCGGGATGCCCTGTCACTTGGTAAGCTCGGGCTCGGCTAGGGACTTGGGATTGGTGATATAAACTTTGTTTCAAGCAGGCAAAAGAAAAAAACTGCCGTTTATTACCAACCTACGGGCCTACTTACCTGTACATCCCGAGCTAATAGGACTCCAAAGGCACCTGGATTGCCATCACCAACTTCAACCATCAGAAGAATCCCAAATACAGCCCTCGGCGGGGTCACCGAGACCAGCAGTTATCGTCCCCACCCTCCAAGGGACCGTGGCACCTCGCCAATGCCGTATTACCCTGCAGAGCGATGGAAAGAGACCCGAGAGATCATCATGAGCAAAGTTTCGAAGGTGGGGCCCAGGTGCTGATATGCAGCTACCAGTGCTGAGTTCCAGGCGATTGGTTCTGTGTCCACGGCGTTGCCCAAATTGATTAACAACTACCGAGCTGTGCCGAGTGCAGCTGTGTGAGACTGCGGGCAGTCATCGTCGTATATCTGATACTATCGCCATGGTCGAGCTGCCAACTTTCACTGCACATGAATCCCACAATCTACCCTCGTATTCCAGCCTGTGGAGAGACACGCCCCGTCATGTGCAAGCTGTCGCTATCCGTCCTAGTAATATCGTTGATATTCGCTGCCTCGAGACACGCTCTCCGATGATTGCAAAAATACACCAAGAAGAATCCCAAGGAATAGCCAGAGCGTCATCATTCAACGCAGAACCTGTGGCGCAGCAACATCCCATTCTTCCCCCCTATGCTCGTGAATTCGTGATCGCAAATATACCTGGTCGTATGCCAATCCGCCCATCGGCACCACATCCAGAGAGCTCTTCCACCCAATCCCACGCCGTCGCCACCAAGTTCACCGTGTCTCTGTTGTATGGATGGCACCGTATGGATAGCGGATAGCCGAAGAAACTGTATTGTTATTTTATTCTGTTTTTCTGGAGGACTCATGCCGATTTTCTATTTCGGGACGGCGTATTGCTGAGTCCACTGCTTCGCCGTCGCAATAGCTGCTTTCTCGTCCTCTTTCCAGCTCTTGGCAACATCAGCAGCAAGCGGATCGTCGGGGTTCGGGGCGCCGAGGAGGGCTTGAATCGAAAGGAGAATTGTTCGGATTTGCAGAGCAGGTGACCAATTGTCTGTAAAGGGAGCCCGAGTCAGTATGGTCCCGACTTCACTATCGTGGTTTTCGGGAACACCCACTCTTCAGCACATCAAGGCAGATACGGCCAAGCTTGTCAACGTTGGGGTGGAAGATCTTGGTAAGGAAGCGAATCTTGGGGGGTGTCATGGGGTAGTCGTCCGGGAGAAAGAGCTCAAGCTTGAAGACGCCGCCTAGAACAGTGGTCAATGCTTGCGAGCTTCATTCTAGAAAAACGGGATACAAACCCTCATATGGAGAAGACGAAGGACCATGGATCTCGACGTCAAAGTACCGTAGGTTGTCTTCGTGGGGAATGGCGCTGATGCCTGGGACACTGTTGCGCCAAAGTTAGTAAAGCTCAACGTAAACGCAAGGCGGAGGGCGCATACGGCTCCGCCATGAGGCGCTCGGTCTCTTTTTGAATTCTCTTGGGGAGAGCCATGGTGAGTGTTTAGGTAGTGGTGCGTCGGGACAGATGCGATGAAGCGCAAGTAGAAGGTCAAAGGAGGGGTAGAACTCCGAAGCGAGGACAGCAGGTGGGACGGTTGCGTTAGCAAGTGTGTGTTGACGAAGCAGGATCAGGTCTGTGGGACCTTCTGTATTTCGAGAAGTTTAGCGCAGACGTAGAGCTAGTGATGGATGCTTAGCAAGAAAATGACTGGCGACAATGGTGTTGAAAATGCCCAAGACAGGTTGGAAGCCTATGGAGTCATAGTGGGCTATGTTTGGCCAGGCCTGGCAGGGTTCTAAGGACGGCTGCCGACTGATAAGCGCACAGACCGCTGATCACATTCCTGATTCCGCCATTTGCACATCCCGGGGTTCTTTCATCAGCTTGTCAGAGGGTAATATGCAACTAAGCGTGTTGGCGCTGCAACATCGTTGAAGGTTACTTTGACGACAGTTGCTTTCACGAGCCTCATTGACCATCAGTTCTGAGAATATAGTTCCATCTCTGATTCTTTGATTGTCACACGACAATATATCAAGTTGATTCTTCGATCCAAACTGCCCAAGGTGCTGGGCCATTGATGGAGGGGTGCTGAGGTGTGGTGAGAAGGCAGTGGAGTGAAACTCGCTGGGCTACCTACGGTCATTCAACACCAAGGCGCTCAGGATGAGCCTCACAATGCTCTGCGGCCCTTATCTTTGACCATGCCTTTCTCCTTTGATCGATTATCTCAGCCTCCAGAGCAGGCAAAGGTTGTCAAGTCGGCTTTTGACAGCGAAACGTTTGATGCAGTTGGCACAATTCATGTGGATGGCCTGGTAGGCTCGGCAACCATCTCACCGTCGGGGCGAGATGTGGCCCTTGCATCGTGAGTAGTCACATTGTTATCATGCTGAGGAAACAAACAGAATCTAACATTTTACAGACCCAAAGGCCTCGCCATCATTGATCTCGATTCTCCATGGAGCCCTCCTCGTCGGCTGAGTAGCCACGGTCTGCCATGGCTTGTGGTTGACGTCCAGTGGTCTCCCTTTGCCGCTCGCGAATTCTGGGTTGCGTCAACAGCAAATCACCGATGTCTGGTCTGGAACCTGAACAAGCGCGATGATTCGTCATCTGGGGCCGTTGAACATTCCCTCCAAGCCCACAGCAGAGCCATCACCGATATCAACTTTTCGGCCCATCATCCCGATTCTCTTGCGACGTGTGCCGTGGATGGCTATGTTCACTGTTGGGACTTGCGGAGACCAAGATCTCCTGCCTTGACGTTTTGTGACTGGTTTGCTGGTGCGACACAGGTCAAGTACAGTCGTCAGGATCCCAACGTCCTCGCTTCCGCCCACGACCGCTATCTTCATATTTGGGACCAAAGAAAGACTGTGGAACCCTTGACAACCATCATCGCACATACTTCCAAGATTTATGGCATTGATTGGAACCGTACCAAACCGACCTGCATAGTCACTTGCTCACTGGATAAGAGCATCAAGTTTTGGGACTACGCCGATGAGGACGACGCGCTCCAGAGAGTCGTTCGCACTGACTTTCCAGTATGGCGGGCACGTCACACTCCTTTTGGCTCCGGATTGTTGGCTATGCCACAGAATGAACCAGGCAATCTATATCTATACGACCGACGCCCGAAGCCCACAGATCCGGTTGACGGTGCCGTTGAACCTGTTTATGTCTTCCCTGGTCATGGCAATCACAAAGTCAAGGAGTTCCTTTGGCGAAGTCGAGGAAGCGTGGACGATGGGATCGATGACCGCGAGTTTCAGCTCGTTTCATGGGGAGAGGACAATGAGCTGCGGCTTCAAAAGGTCGAGGCGCCGATTTTGAAGTCCGCCGGCTATGAACGGGGGACCCCTTTGATGGAGAACCTCATTCTCACTCGGAAGGGCGCGACTTACAAAACATTCCGTACAGTTGACGACGCCGATCAGCGAGATCGCAGGACCCCTACGATGAGCCACCCTCGCCCGGGAACGGGCAGCCGCTTCCGCCCAAGTGCCCTGAGCATGGGTTTATATACCCGTGCTCGTTGGATCGGTCCTTCGTGGAGGGCTGCATCCATGAAGGCCAAGTCAAACTCGAGGAAGACTGCGGACAAGAGTCAGCTTCAAATCGGCTGGATGAGAGGCATCACAATATCAAAGAGAAAATCCGGCTCAGAAATGAGACCAGACTCTCCAGATTCCAGAATGTTTGGCCACGCATTTGACAGTGAGTGGTGGGAGCCCGAAACGATACAGGATGAGTTTCTCCGGATCAGTAGTCGGCTGCCAAACGTGGAATGGGAAAATATCGACATGGACTCTTTGACGCTGAAGGCTTCCCTGAAAGGGCCATGGGGCGTGGATGAGGCGATTATCTTCATCAAGGTCAAAGTTGACATTCCGTCCAGTTATCCCGAGAGCAAAGCGCCGAGGTTTCACATTGAAAAGTCATCGTTCATGCCCGAGGAGACCCACAAGAAGCTTCAACATGAACTTCAGGAACTCTCCATCCGCTTCTTGGAAAGAAAGGAAAACTGTCTCTTTGTTGCCTTCACGTATCTACTGGGCGAGGTTGACCTTGAGACCAGCACAACATACTTCAAGAATGTTCGGGATCTGGACGACGACATGGATGGCTTGGCTGATGAGAGCTCTAGTGAAGACGACGAGAGTGGCATTCCTGCCGGTGGCTCTGCGTCCATGTCACAAGAGCTCAGTAGCAGTTCTGAATTAGATCCTACAGCAACACTAGCCCCAGCCAAACGCCCTATTTTGCCCCCGCCACCGAGACTATGTGGTGCGAGATTTTCCAGTGATGGGGAACTGGTTTGCTTCTTTCCCACCAAGGAAGAGAAGCAAAACGCATTGTTCACTATGGCTGCCCCAGATGTCTCTAGTGACAAGCAGAAAGGGGATCCCGCGTTTGACGGCTTTGGACGGCTTTCACAGGACTCATCGGCGCCCAAACATCTATTCAACGACGAGACATCGGCAACTGATGACCAGTCGGAATATTCTGATTGCACAGAGTCAACGTCATCGACAGACTCGGAGCCAACAACAGTGCACAAGTTCCGTCTCTGGTATCAGCCTGGGAGATACTTCCGCAAGCCCCTCAGCACCAACGATTCGGTGCGGTCCAGCGGAGGTGGTACCGGCACTGGGACTGGAACCGGCACAGGAACCAGTCGGAGAAGACCAGGCAAGCCGAAAAACGTTGTTTCTATTCACGACTTCCGAGCCTACCTACCATCCAAGAGAGAATTCGCCGAGGAGTATGCTATCTTTGGTGACGGTACTGAGGTGTGTAATCACAACGCTGCGGTGGCAGACAAGTATGGCTACTTGGACCTGGCCACCATCTGGAAATATGCCGCTCTTCTACTGCGAAGAGATGTTCCGCTCGAGGTCCAGTACAGCAGAAAACAGTCTGTATTGGTTATCGCCAGAGAATCTGTGTCTCGCTCCAATCGGAAAAAAGAGGCCGGTTTAGCCGGTCGTGTGAAATGGGGTTGCCATCCACTCGCTCGCGACTTGATCGACCGCCTGTTCGACTATTTTGAGAAGATAGCTGATATCCAGATGCTGGCTATGCTTGCCTGCATCTTCGGAGACTCATTTGAGGAAGATGGAGTGGCATACGCCGAATCTCGCCTGACCCAGCCGGAAACACCTCTTGCTATGAAGGCGCCATCATTTTCGCTGGAATATTTCCCTACAGATCCTGGTCTTTGGAGTATGAAATACAGAAGCCGGGGAAGCTCGGCTGTTGGGACTTCCAGAATAGCGAACACACCTGCCGGCCACTCGGGCTCTCAGGCGTCAGAAGACGCAACGGTGCTGGCTGGATTTGGCACTCATTCATACTCCCGCGGAGAAACACCATCCAAGCTCACGCCCGGTCATGCTCGAGAAGCTCGACAGACACAAAGTCTGTCCACCTCTCCCAACACCCGATCCTTTTACAAGCCCAACTCGACAGTTGCCTCAATTGCTGCCAGTTTGCCACGGACGCTTGCCGGCATGGTATCTGCCTCGCCGCCTGATCCTCCTACACGAAAGCGACCTAGTCCTGCGGAGACCATCCTCAGCAACTTCGTACCTAGTGCTATCACTTGGGGTAGCTCAACCGTGTTTGGTGCTAAGGCCGCTGCTCCAGAAACAGCTCCTGGGACAGCCCGCACATCTCTAACCGATGATGGCCGGGTCAAACGTGGTTTCTACTCTATGGTTCCCATAGCTGTATCATGCGTTCCAGAGGATCAAGGGCTCTTTGACGATGATGGCTGGATGTCGACTTCTCTCATCGAACCCCAGCGTAGAGAGCTCTACACTCACTACCGCTATTCATATGCCGAATTGCTCCAGACGTGGGGTCAATCTCTGTCTCGTCTTGAGATCCTCAAGTTTAATGTTCTCAAAGACGAACGCCTCTATAACAATAACAACAGCTGGAACAGCAACGACTCCGACTGCACCGACCTTGATCCTACTCCCCGCGGCTCACGGCACTACCCAACCGGTGCCTCCTCGCCCGTGATGGGCTTCGGTGGCCGCCGCGAGCTATTCCAAAACCTCCTGGCAACAGGACGCGGTTTGGATGTGACTGGCCTCTGCCGCATCCACGAAATCCAACTCGACCCTGTCGAATATCACCGCCCCGCCAACGGGCACGTCGGTGGAGCAGTGGGCATCTGCCCTCGTTGCTTCCCCGAAAGCGCCTACGGCAGTAAGATCCCACAAACTCAGCTCCACTGCGTCTACTGCCTCGAGCCCGTCGCCTCTTTGTATTCTCCTTGCCTATCCTGCGGCTGCGTCTCCCACGCCTCCTGCCGGGCAGACTGGCACGCCATGGGCGAAACCGAATGCCCGGCCGGCGACGAGTGCAACTGCGTAGAGGACGCCTTCAACGGCCAAGTTGAGTCCTGGAGCGCGCTCCAAGCAGCGATATCCCATTTCCCTCCCGTCCCCTCCCCCGTTTCCTCCCCGCCCCAAGCCCACCCCCCCACTCGTGTGATGACAACTTCGGAGAGAACCATCGCCTCCCTCAAGAAAGCCGTCGGGGTAGGTAGCAGCAGCAGCGCGTCACTCCCTGCCCGCTCCCGACGTAAATCCGCACCGACAGAACTGTCAAAATTCCAACTCGAAACCGGGATCCCCCGCCCTTCTCAACCCCTACCGCCGGGTAGACCTAACCTGAGGAGAATGCAAACCAACACCGGGTCATCCTACGCGCAGAATTCAGAAGATAAGACGTCTTACCCCTCCCCGGCGCATTTAGACAGGGAAAGCGGCAACGACTGGGAGCACATTGTCTCTATCCCGTCAGTCACCATCACGAGGGCAAGCAACAATGGGAGTAGCGGCGGGAGCAGTGTTGCGAGCACGGCAACGACGGGGAGTGGGTTTTTGGCGGGGGCGATGAATATGGGATACAGTATGGGATTTGGGGGTTATGGGAGCAAGCCGCCGGTGCAGGGGGATGAGCCGATCAGTGCGGCGAGGTTGAGTCTGGGGAATCGGCTGATGAAGAGTTTGCATGGGTCGGGTTCGAGTGTGCGGGGTGGTGGTGGTGAGGTGAGAGATGGCGGGAGTGTGAGATCACAGCAGCAGCAGCAGCAGCAGCAGGGGGAGGAAGGGGGTAGTGGTATTAGTGCTTTTGCGAGGAGGAAGAGTGGGGGTGTGATTTGGAAGAACTCCTGAGAGGGGATTGTAACAGTTGTATAGCGAGCGAGTTTTAGTATTGCATTTCAGGAGTGGAAAAGGGGTCAAAAAAGGTGTTGTTTGCGGGACTGACCAGAGCAAAGGTTACCTGGTGAATGAAAGACTAGCACTGCCATTGAAGACTCATCATTTCGTGACCATAGCGCTAACCTACAACTTCCCCCTGTCTCCACCCCTATTTATTTCTTAGTCCCCTATTTCTCCTGTTTCAAAACATTTCGAAAAAACACTCACGCCTTCCAGTTCTTCGCAAAGAAGTCCAACACCGTCTTATATCCCCTGATATACTCCTCCTTCACCCTCGCATCGCTCAGATCACTCCTCGCCGCCATCCACCCGTGGATCTGGTCCTTGAACGTCTCGACATGCTTCGCCACCTTGAGCTTCTCCTCAAACTCCTTGACCTTGTCCTCCGGCTCCTCCTTGGACGCAAGCAAAATAAGCGGGATCTTGATCCCCTCCGCCTCCTTGGGGTCAACCATAGCAGGATGGCACTCTGCGCCGACAACAAAAGGATTCTGATCCCCAGACGTCACGAGAGACACAACCTTCCCGCCCCAGCAGAACTATTCTGTAGTCAGCTTCACGCCCGCGGCGGTTTGAACGAGAAAGGAGACTCACACCCAAAATAGCCCACTCCTGCACCCCCGTCTTCTCCTTCAGAGCCTTGACATACTCAGGGAGCTTGCCGGCCACGCCGGGAGGCGGGTTCCTGCCGAAGAAGGCGCCAAGGTTCTTTTGCTTCTCTTCCGTGTTGGGGGGATACCACTCGATGGGGCAGGGCTCGCCTTTGAACCAGTCGGGGATGACGACTTTGTATTCTTCCGAGGAAGAAGTGGCGAGGATGTCGGCGCCTTGGAGGGTTTGCTCAAAGTAGCCGAAGATGTCGTAGATGACGAGGATGCCCTTTTTGGCGGTGGAGGGGCCTGTTACGTCTGGGGGTGTGTTAGTCTTGCGTAAAATGGATAATGGACCCTAATAACATGTCTGAAAAAGGGGCAGCATACAAGTCTTGAAGCCATCAATCTCCTCGTAGCTACCCTTGGCAGAGTAACCCTTGGAGACAACAGGAGGGATGTTGCAGCAGGCCTGGTTGTGGCCGTGGGAGGCTTGCATGGTGGACATCTTGGCGGCTTGCTGTTTTACAGAGAAAAATGTTGTGTGATTCAACGAGCCAGTTCTAGAGGCACACGCAGGAGGAGGTTCGGATTTGAAGATCTGGGGGTTGCCGGACAAACGATAAGCATAAGAGCCAGGAGGACGGGAGAGCCGGGCGGCTGCGAGACGGAGCTGGCTTCCTGAAGGCATACCTTTAAATGAGAAGCTTCTAGGTTCGGGGTATCTTGCCTCGGGGATCCTCGGACAATGATGGCTGCTGGCTAGTGTAGGGGCTTCGAGATCGGTAATGTTGCCTGTCTATCTTAGGGCAGAAGTGCGGGGTAGCTTCCCACTGTTGCCGCCAGATTAATTAAATAAGGCCCACTATTGAGGAATGATATTGTAGCAGTGAGACTTAAGGCACTAGGTTAGGCATTACTAAACCACCTAACTACTTTTTTCTGTACAACACTGAAATTAATATAATTAACTACCTTAATATTAAATCTAATTATTTATAATTAGAGCATTATTCCTTAATTTTAAAGTTATTACTATTATATTAAATCCATAATTATTGTAATTTCACTGTAGCCCCAATACAACTAGTAGTAAGCTATAGATATTATATGAGCTATTTCCGCTGCACTACACACTGTAAGTGCATTGGGCCTTTAGGTTTATATATAGGACATAGCTTTCAATAATAATTATTTCGAAATAAATAGTACTAAAATATTTAGATACAAATATTTTTTAAAAAAAAAAGCTATTTTTGGGTAATATTTAGATATAAACCGTAGCATAGTTTTAGATCTTTTCCTTATTATTTGTAGATGGAGCGCGTAGTGCGCTACTTCGTACTTGGCTCTAAGATGAAGAAAGAGGTTTGATATTTGAGACTAGGCGGGAGAACCTCGGGAAATTGGAAGTATCCCAAATCTTTTTCTGGACCTTCGGTAGAAAGAAGATTCGTGGATGCGACACAGTGAACCACCCCACCGTGATGTCACAGTTCTTTCCCCGCCCAACAGTTGCCAAAGGTCACTGGCCAATCAAGTGCAGCGGGTGAGCTCCAAGCAGTGCCCCACTGTCGTGGAAACTCTATTCCCGACGATGTTTGGTGCTGAAAGGTTGCTGGGCTTTTTATTGGTGGGGGGTTCCATTCTCCTTACTTACTCACATGCACCCGGCGAAGACACGACGAGATCAACTCATACGATGTGTAACATTGAGAAAGACTGCCACTATGAAAAGAGCCAAATATGATGGCAAAGCTAACGCAGACTGCCCCCCTCCTGTTCTCGGACTTTTTGCAGTACTTCAATATCTTGTCATCATCAATCCTCATCATCAATCCTCCTCATCATCATCATCATCTGTGTGAATACTCGAAGCTCTTGTAAGCAACCTCCACACGTGCTCTGCAGCCACGACCTCTGCTAACTCCTGGCCTGAAACAGATATCCCAACCCTCACACAACAGTTGTTTGCCGACTGTGAACCGTAGGAAAGCTGATACCGTGAAACCATTCACTGTTCGCCAATCTTATGGCCGGACCGCTTCATGTCCGCCACCGCCTTCTTCACCACGGCAACCTCAGCCCCGAATCGAAGAAACTTCTCGATATCAATCAGGTCGATCCATTTTGGCACCAGGTTCTCTCCCTCATCCTGCGTGTCCTTATCGGGCGTCGAGGTGGAGTCACATGTCGCTGCCCAGTAGTACACCGTCTTGAAGGATGGTGACTTGGACTGAGGATCGGGGTAGGAGCATGTCCCGATGAACTCCCTGCTAACGTGGTCCCAAAGAATCTCTGGCTTCTTGTAGCCCTTGCCCTTGTTGGGGAGGGCCCTTTTCGGCAGTTGGGCTCTCGTGGGAACCTTGAGTGCCAAAGGCGTAGCCGTAAACCCGGTCTCCTCGTGCGTCTCCCTGAGGGCTGTGTCGAACCAGTGCTCTTCAACGTTCCTTCTGCCTTTCGGGAGTTGATGGATCTGAAGGCGGTTGTTCCAGATGATGAGGACCTTCGCTCTCCCAGGGTCGATTGTTACGGTGCCGCAGGATATTCCAACCTCGTGCGCCGGACTAAACGTCATGCTCATGTCAATCTGGTCCATATCCAACTGCTCATCACCCTGGCGAGCCATTATGATGGTGCTGGTGTGTGGGTAAGGTCGAGCTGGTTGCTGAAGGGGTGGTTCAAACCAAGAAGAGGTCTCGAAAGCCCAAGATGATTTGGAAAGGTTATCTTGAAGGTGCCAATTCTATCTGAGAGGTGGCTTTCTCGTGTCGATGGGCGGATTTCCCACGCCGGGCTGCTGAGACTTATATCTGGTCATTTTGCTGCTCTGAGGGCGGCAGTCGGCATGAATCCGCAAGGGATGGGACGGATTCCCAAGCACACCAACCTGCGAATCTGCCTGTGGCCCAAAAAGGACGGGAGTGACATCCGACCGGTGAGCACCAAAGACATGAGAGGTACTTCAAAGACTTACAGACTGCAGCGGCAATGAAACCCCGCATGACGACGGTATTGGTGAGCAAGGGATGGAAGTTCACATTGGGCATATACATGTACTCTCACACCAGCCCTGACCGCCGCCGACTGCGACCCAGAGACACACCCCGGCAGAAGCACAACCTCCCGGATGCAACGTGGTGGTGGCCGACTGGGCAGTATCGAACTCGATATGGAATTTCAGGGACTTGAGCCATTGGATCCGGAATACCATGACAGCGTCTTCCGGTGCAGAAGCGTCGCTGCACCAGGGGTTCCAGGCCCGCCCTCATGCCTCGAAAGCTATAGTGGGCGCCATCGCGGAACCAACCATGTCGCTCCGTCACGATGCCCTCGTCGGAACAATCATCCCACTCACGCGTCGCCATGATATATACCAACAAGTTTCAATGATCAGCGTCAAACACCCCGGCACACCGGTGAGGATCCTGATCATGCGGCTGCTACCTTACTGGCGGTACCAGACTTTGACCAAGCTCGGGCTTTTTACGACAAGTCAGATCACCCACGAAGGGACATCCATCACAAGCCTTGCGATGCCATCTCTGGCAAACCTGCCGGACTGTCCCTCTGCATGTCTCTCATGCCCACCCTCCAACAGACGCCCTTGCTTCGGTCCACGACTGTCATAACAAACTTATCATCGGGTCGGGATACCTTTTCTGAACGCCTGGCAATGATTTGAGAGAGTCCCACCCCTCCCCCGCAATGTCCTCTGCGGGGCATGCCCGTCAGAACCTTCTTGACACCCAACCTCGAGAGGCCCCGGTGGCCCTTCCTTCGGACCTCCATCACCCCTCCGCGACTGTTGCCGTTTTCTGCGGCCTATTCGACACCACCACATGTGTCTTTGTCTCGACATGAGAGGCTCTTCTATGGTGTGGTAGACTATGGTCGCACAATCCAGGGATTTTGGAATCGGCTAACCATGCGATGTTCACTTTGTGCCACTTCGCGTCCGATGCCTTGTAACCGCTTCACTGGGCGGCATTTGTACCCATCCGCATCGAGATGTTGTGCCACATGGAGGATGTCACGCAGGCTTAATGCTGCAACTGACTGGAGTTTCGGTACTTACTGACGTGTGACATAGTTTCTAGAAAGCTGCAGCGATCTCTTGAGTTCACACACCAATGGCATGGCTGTGTATTTCAAATCAGACCATACACGACTTCCAATTATCTGGTTTATTCAAGTGATCCGGCAACGATTTTCACTATCTTGCCTAAAGCGACAGGAGTGTGGTACGATATCATCGTCGTAGGGTAACCGTTGGCGGAGCCCGCATATGTCACTGCCACTCAGAAGAGATGCCCGAAAGACAAGACCAAAGCCTCCGCCCCTGGCGATGGACTTGATGGCCATGTTTTGGGTTGAGTAGGACAACCATTACGAGCCATGGTTCGAGACAAGGTACCCTTCCTCAGCACTTGTCCACTTCCTCCCCACTTGTCCTCGCCAGGGCAATCCAGACACCGATTCTTAGATGCTGCGCTATCAGGCTAATGCCAAGACTGCTCACAAACTAGATAGACATATATCGCGCTGCATAACTTCCGAAGATGTGCAAGCCAAACGATTCAACTCTGAAACTGTAACTGCTCTTGGAACTTTTGACCAAGTGTCAGACTTTTCTTGAAGCCATGATCGATCTGAAAACATTACCGGCGCCCTCTTGTCTCGAAAATAGTGCCGGACACCACCACTTTTCACGCTACCCCTCTTTCTGCCGTTTTCTCATTCTTGCGCTACCCCAGCGGCCAGTCAGAAATAGCTGTGCTCAAGCCAAACAGTGGTCCTGGTGGTAGGACAGCCTGAATATGGGCTGCACTCCTCTTCATGTCGTCGAGGCTCGAGCACGCCTTGGTTGTCTATCAGAGCATCGTCAAATATTTCTGCCGTTGCAGGATGTGTAGGACAGCTTCTCGATAATCAACCATGTAGGTGTGCCCCTGTCTACCTCCACCATCACGGGCATTTACCTGCCGAGCCTCTCTGTCTCTCTCTCTGGGTTCGCCCCGAGCCGCTGTTGACTACAGCAAGTGCCAGCTTTCTTCACACACTCCACTTCCCCTCACTCACGGCCGAAGCGATCACGATCGATGGCAAGGATCGGAAAGCTGGGGCGGAAGCAGTACCACCCTGCCCCCCACGTGGGGCAACTGTTAAGTCCTCACGAAGCAACATGGGAAAAGATCAAACGAGAAGACAAGTTCTCGAGGGAGAAATCCCAGAGTTCCATTATGGACTATCATCATGGCCGTGTATGTACGTACGTACCGTACAGCGGCTGAACCATGCAGTCATCCAGTCACTTCCTTGCCGCGCCCCTGCGCCTGGCAGCACCAAAACCTGCAAGTTTTCTTCACCGAGGTTGCCTTCGTCCGCTTCTCGCCTCTAGATGGACCGCAACTCTGCCAGACCGGTTTCGGGAGGCGCCGCTATTGATTCCGAGCACACACATACACACACACACACACACACACACACACACACACACATGAACACAAAAGCCATCGTCACACGGCGGCCAAACCGACAGCAACAAACGGGAACGAAGAAAAACAAACTGCACGAATACTATCAAAGAAAAGGTTACCCGCGAATCAACATCCAAGGATGCTTCTGCATTCAAGTGACGCCGCTGACACCATATTCTCATCTTACCTTTTGGGAGGGGAAGAAATCCGGTAAGGTACAGATCGGCCTATTACAACTACCACCACATGAACTTCCGGGTCCCTTCCCTGCTCCTGCGGCTCTTTCCCATCAGCCGACTTCTCGACGATATGGTGCTGCAAGTCCATCACAGTTTGAAGAGTGGGGGTTCAGTCCAAGTCCGCGGCCAAAGGAGCGTGCCAGTGGTATAATGTTTTCTTCAATCATCTGTCTGATCCGTCTCTCGCTGTTTTACACCGCACTCATTGAGCAAGACCCGGCCCGTGTCTGCATGACCTCAAGGTGGCATCCTTATCCGGGGAAAGGGAAGGAAGAGACACGAACGGGGAGACAGGCTCATTCATCCTGGCGAGAAGCCACAACAACGCGGAAAAGATGCCCATGGGACATGATATAGATGGTTTGTCCAATCAGGTGGGGTATTGTAATGTTCTATCTTTCCGCGGACATACACGGCGTGATCCGGTTAAAGGATAGGTTAGGAATGTCGTGCTGGGCGTCAACTCGGGCACCCTCTGTTCTCACGGGAGACGGGACGGCTCGCCCTTGCCAAACTTCCTTTCACTGTCCAAGGCAGCTATCGGGCAGCGCTCTAGTTGGCCAGATGGGCATACTCCTTGTTGAAGGCGCGCCCGATCACCATCCGCCTGACCTCGGATGTTCCCGCTCCAATCTCATACAGCTTCGCATCCCGCAAGATTCTCGAAGCGGGCATCTCCTCCGTGTAGCCCATTCCGCCCAGGATTTGGATCGCGTCCAGCGCGCACTCGGTCGCCCTTTCCGCGGCATAGAGGATGGCACCCGCGCAGTCCTGGGTGCGGATATCGGCCTGCTCGTCAACCGCCTTGGCCGTGGCATAGGTGTACGCCCTCGAGGCCTGGAGCTTGGTGTACATGTCGGCCAGCTTCCCTTGCATAAACTGGAACTGGGCGATAGGCGTGCCGAACTGCTTGCGGCCGTGGGCATAGGGCAGCGCAACGTCCAAAGCGGCCTGCATCAAGCCCAGTGGTCCAGCAGAAAGAACCAATCTCTCGAGGTCCAGTCCCTCCATCAGAACCCTAACCCCGCCGTTGACTTTGCCCAGGACGTTCTCCTTGGGGACGAAGACATTCTCAAACACGAGCTCTCCCGTGTTGGAACCCCTCATGCCCATCTTGTCCAGCTTCCTCAGGCACTCGAAGCCCTCTGCCTTGTCCGTTTCGACGATGAATGCCGTGATGCCCTTTGATCCCCCATCAGGCACAGTCTTGGCGTAGACAATAACTATGTCTGCGTCTGGGCCATTGGTGATCCACATTTTGCTTCCGTTGAGGACGTAACCCCCGTCCACCTCCTTGGCTCTCGTCCGCATAGAAACAACATCACTGCCCGACCCGCTCTCACTCATGGCCAGGGCGCCAACCTTTGTCCCCGCGATCAAATCAGGCAAGAACTTTTCTTTTTGTTCCTTTGAGCCATTAAGCTGAAGCTGGTTGACGCACAGCTGGGAGTGGGCGGCGTAGGAGAGGGCGATGGACCCCGAAGCGCGGGAGAGCTCCTCCATGACGATGCAGTGGGCTTGGTAACCCAGGCCTAGGCCGCCGACGGCAGGGTCGGCGGTTATACCTAGCAGACCGGCCTCTCCCAGCTTGAGCCACATGTCGGGGGGGAACTGGTTGGACCTGTCGGTTTCGGACGCGAGGGTTTCGGGGAGGGAGCGGCGGACGAATTCTTGCACTGTGGTGCGGAGTTCGGAGAGGTCGGCGGGGGTTGGGGGGGTGAAGCCCTCGGGGTGTTTGGAGGAGGCATAGTGGCGGGTGGTTTGGAGGAGGTATGAGGATGTTGGTAAGGGGGTTGAGAGCGGTCTTGGGGAGGTTGTTAAGGAGGGGCAACCGAGGTTGGCTTTGGACAGACGGCCAAACTGGCGGCGGGGAACTGAGAGGATGGTTCGGGGGGTTGCTGTGCGCAACAGCGCGCGGGATGTGGAAGGGGTTGCCATTGTGGTGATGCTTTCAGTAGATTCAGAGCCAACGACGACGAGTATGTGCGACAGCCAGCAAGATGAGGAAGAAAAAAGTTAAGGAAGACTGGTAGTTCCCGGGTGACTTCTCCCTGGCTTACACGGCCATCTAAATGCCAAGGCCGCGCAACACCCCGGCAGGCATGCGGGCAGCCGCTGATAGCAAATGCTGGAGTGCGATTGAGCTCGGCTTTCCACGGCCTAAGCCGGCCCGGTCTGTTGTGGTAAGCCCACCTTCCAGGAACGACTTGGTTTCGAGGGGGGTTCACAAGTCGAAGGACGTCAGTGATGCTGATCGTGGGCTCCGTGTCTGCCCAGGGCCGCGGTAAACCGCTGAGCCGCGTTTTTGTTTCGCTTTGCTCTCGATCCCTTACACCAATTCTCACGATCTTCTTGCACCTGTTCTGCTTCCGTGGTTGTTCCTTTTTGCGCAACAGCACTATCCCACCATCTCCAACGTCATCGCAACTCCGTCCCGTCGCAAGCATGCTCCCCCAAATATCGCGACAATTGAGTCGCCAATGCCGGCGCCCTCGCCTTCTCCGTCCAACACCCCATCCCTCATCACCAAGAACACCACGGTGCAGCAGCAGGACAGTAGCAACCTTCACCACCCCCCACCAATCCTCCTCCATCTCCGTCATCCCCACCGCCGTCGACCCCTCCTCCCCCGAATACCTCGAAAACACCAAGCTCATGTCTGCCGCCATGTCCCGCCTCGAATCCCTCACCCGCAAAGCTCACCAGGGCGGTCCCGCAAAGGCAAAGGAAAAGCACCTCGCCAGAAAGAAGATGCTCCCCCGCGACAGGATCACGGCTTTGATCGACCCGGGGAGCACCTTTCTGGAACTTTCTCCCCTGGCCGGTCACGAGCTCTACCCCGAGGCTGAGGTGCCGTGCGGCGGTATCATCACCGGAGTGGGTGTTGTCGAGGGAGTGGAGTGCGTAATCGTTGCCAACGACAGCACCGTCAAGGGAGGGACATACTACCCTATCACGGTCAAAAAGCATCTTCGTGCGCAAGAGGTGGCAAAGGAGAACAACCTCCCGTGCATATACCTTGTTGATTCTGGAGGAGCGAACCTGCCGCACCAGTCGGATGTGTTCCCGGACAGGGAGCATTTCGGACGGATCTTCTACAACCAGGCGAGGATGTCCGCTGCGGGGGTTCCACAGATTGCGGTGGTGATGGGGCCTTGCACTGCGGGAGGGGCGTATGTACCGGCCATGAGTGACGAGAGTATCATTGTGCAGGAGCAGGGTCACATCTTTCTTGCGGGGCCGCCGTTGGTCAAGGCGGCAACGGGGGAGGTGGTGAGCCCGGAGGAGCTGGGGGGGGGAAAGATGCATAGTAGCGTGAGTGGTGTGACGGATTACTTGGCGGTGGATGATGCCCATGCTGTTGTGCTGGCGAGGAGGTGCGTGAGTAACCTCAACTGGCCCAAGAAGACCGCATTGGTGAAGACGTATGAGGAGCCGGTGTATGATCCGGAGGAGCTGCTGGGGATTGCGAGCACCAACCTCAGAAAGCCACTGCCGATCCATGAGGTTATTGCACGGATTGTGGACGGCAGCAAGTTTGGTGAGTTCAAGAGGGACTTTGGGACCACGCTGGTGACGGGCTTCGCCGAGATTTACGGGCACAAGGTTGGCATTGTGGCCAATAACGGGATTCTGTTCAGCAGTTCGTCGCTGAAGGGGGCGCATTTCATTGAGTTGTGCTCTCAGAGGGGGATCCCGCTGGTGTTTTTGCAGAACATCAGTGGGTTCATGGTTGGTAAGGATGCGGAGAGGGAAGGGATTGCGAAGAACGGCGCGAAGCTGGTCACGGCGGTGGCGTGCGCGGATGTGCCCAAGTTTACGGTGGTGGTGGGAGGTAGTTATGGTGCGGGCAACTATGGCATGTGCGGGCGGGCGTACTCGCCGAGGTTCTTGTGGATGTGGCCGAATGCGAGGGTGGGCGTGATGGGTGGTGAGCAGCTCGCCAAGGTGATGGAGACGGTTGGGAAGGGGGTGGATGAGGGGTTGAAGGACAGGATCGAGAAGGAGAGTGATAGTGTTTTCTCGAGTGCGAGGTTGTGGGTGAGTATTTTGTTCACGATCATCGAGGTCCTGAGTCACGGATTGCTAACATTGGGGTCCAGGATGACGGTGTCATTCCACCACAGCATACCAGGAGATACCTGGGCCTGGGACTGAACGCCGCGATGGGAGGCAGGAACGATGTCAAGGCTGGTGCTACGAAGTTTGGTGTTTTCAGAATGTAAATGCTCGCCAGGTAATGTCATGGAGATGCTTGAGGAGCGGGCGTAGGGGAGCAAGCATGTGTTTTGATGATATAAAATGAAGAAGTTCTCACGAACCGAGATAGGCCAATTCATTATTATCTACTTTGCCCATCTGTTTCAAAGTCGGTTGCATCGTCAACACTCTTGCTTGCCATCCTTGGACTCCTATCAATCTGCCATGGTCGCCAAACCCTCATAAATGGTATGTCTGTGGTTCGTCTCGTACTGCTTGTGGATACGGCGTCATCATGGTGTTTTGACAGTTTGCTTATCAGCCCTTCCCCTCACCCCTCACCCCTCACCCCCCATCCGATCAACCCCTATTTCAGGGGCAAATGTCTAGCCGAAGATGCTGTCATCCGCGTTATTGAACAGCTTTGCAATCGACCCATCTGGGCACTTGTCGATCTGCCACGCAACAGTTCTGTTCTTCGTGTTTCAAACCCGAACGCCGTCACCGAAAAGCGAGAATTCCTCCAAGCGCACCATTCTCACAGGAAAATGTGGGCTTGAAAAGATCCAGATGCTTTATCGACAGCACCGATCTCTGATCTAGCCCTCAAGTGCGGGACTGGCGGTAGGAAAGCTACCCCTACTTCCCCACATGGAGGCGCTTCCAGACTTGTCGATTCCCTGTCAGATACCACCTCAGAATGGTGGGGGGGGGAGACTGCGGGCAGGAGTGGTATAAACCAAGCTACCCCGCTTGGGGATATCTGAACTGGACAGGAAACACGACAAAGGATATCGGGAAAGATAAATACCATTGAAGCATCGAGAAACCAAAAGTTCTTGACATCGCCATACTTCGAGAAAGCATCAACAGATTCAGACCAAAACCCACCCATGTCTCTTCAGTCCGGAGTGCGGAGGACACTCCGCCAAGCCCTCGTCTCCACACGCCAGCATTTACACCACCAGACAACACCAAAACAGACATCACCAACATCATCCTCCCCAGTCCGATTCTTCAGCTCCTCCCCCAGAACACCACTACAAGACGAAGAAGGAACCTCCGGAAAAGAAGGCCAATACGCCCGAACAGACCACACCATCCAAGTTTCCTACCCCGGCCCAGCCTCCACCCAACTCCCCCCAACGGACAATCTCGTCAAAGGGATCGGCCATGGAGGTGTCCCTACACTGCCTACCTTTTCCCTCCAGGGCAAAGTAGGTGTCGTGACCGGTGGTGCGAGAGGCCTTGGGTTAGTGATGGGTCGTATGTTCTTTTTTTTTTCTTTTTTCAGATCCCCGCTTCCCCACCCACATTGTCTGATACTGACACGGAAAACAGAAGGAATGGTCGTAAGCGGCGCCTCGCTCGCCATCGTCGACCTCAACAAGGAAGAAGCCACCAAGCAAGCCTCCCTCATCCTCGAGACTTTCAAGCGGGACAACCCCTCTTCAGACCAAATCCCCACCATCACAGCCCACTACGCCGACGTCTCGGACCCCTCCTCGGTCCAGGCCTGCATTCAAGAGATCATTTCTGCTCACGGCAAGATCGATGGCCTTGTCACCTCGGCCGGATTCACCGAGAACTTTGAGGCGGTTTCCTACCCTTTTGATAGGGTCCGGAAGCTGTGGGGGGTGAATGTGGACGGGACTTGGCTGTTCGCTACCGAGGTGGCGAAACATTTGATCGAGAGGGGGGCAAAAGGGAGCATGGTTTTTATTGGGAGCATGTCTGGAGCGATTGTCAATGTGCCGCAGCCGCAGGCGCCGTATAATGCGGCAAAGGCGGCCGTGAGGCATATGGCGAGCAGTCTGGCGGTGGAGTGGGCCAAGTATGGGGTGAGGGTGAATGTGATTAGTCCGGGGTATATGCTGACTGCTTTGTGAGTTTCTATTTCTTTCCTTTTTTTCTCCTTTTTTTTTCTTCTTTTCTTTTTCTTCTTTTTTTGTTCTTCCTTTTTTGCTTCATTTTTTTCTTCTTTTCCCTCTCTTGATATCTCGGTGGATGATGGGGATGGAAAGTCTGGATTGCTAACAGGGGTGAACAATACAGGACTCAAAAGATTCTCGATGACAACCCGGATTTGAAGGAAAAGTGGACGAGCTTGATTCCGCAGGGAAAGATGGGCAAGCCCGAGGACTTGATGGGCCCGGTGACGTTTCTGCTGTCGGATGCGAGCAGCTATGTTACGGGGGCGGATTTGAGGGTTGATGGGGGGTATACCTGCACTTGAAAGGTTCATCATCCATGGAGTGGTTGGATTTGTGTCGGAGAAATGGGGATGTAATATCATGTCATGACATGAGATAGAATAGGGGGCGTTTTTAAAAGAGCGAGCATAGAAGTATGCAGCCAAATTGGATTTAATCAAGTTCACTCATTTGTTTACTACTTTCTTCATGAAAGACATATTCGTGAGAGATGGGCTATTGAATTCAATCCGTCCGACTCCCCAGGATGGACCTCAAGCTACATAGGTGACGAGCAAGTCAATTAGAAAGTGAGGTGGGCATCTCCATAACCCCCAACACCTCACCGCATCTTTTACCTTTTCTTCTTCTTTTTTTTTCTTTTCTTTTTTTCTCGAGAGAAAATACTGCTTTGAGACATGAAAAGTCCTTTGATAATGCAGTCTTGACGGACGAATGGAATCCAAAATCTCTTAGAGCCGAAAGCAAGACGCCCACCACACGCTCCTCACCCAAAACCGGGCCGGTTCTGACAGGTCATATGCATCGGTTCGGTTCGGCATGGTGGGCGGCAGTCTGGATGGTTGTTGATCAAGTCTTGACTGCAGCATCCAATGTACACAAACGTACATCCCTTGACATGCACTTTCAGACGAGCTGATATGCGATGTGAACAACTCTTTTGGGTGTATCAAGGGCGACCGCACTTGTTTGGGCGAGAAAGAGAAGACCGGCGAGCTGGTGACGGGAGAATATAATGGGTCAAAGCGTTTCGAAAGCCTGTTGCAGGGGTAGTGTTAGGGTGGTGCCCAACTGTAGGGAGATCAACTGACACGTAATTAGTTTTGGCAAAACAGGTACGTACCAAAACCAATGTGGTATTCCCTTTACCCCAAAAACCAGAGAAGAAACAAAACGTTGATCATCTGATCTCCTGTGTGTCACCTTGTGGCATTCTGGGTTCCATGGCACACAAAAGGCACAACAAACACATCGAGACGCTCACTAACACCCACACCCCCTCACAGGGCAAAGGGCAGTCCCTGATCATGTCGTCAACCGCTCCTCTCAGCCTCGGCCAAAGAATATGAACACCCCTTCGCCTCCTTCCTCTCCGAGAGAGGGAATGAAAAAAAAAAGAAATTACTCTCGAGCTCGCCATGCCGCAATGAACCAATGGATCAAGGTCATGTCCTGTCACAAGACTGGTTCCCCGCAAAAGCTGGGCAGATCAGAAGATCCCGGACCAGGGGTTTGACGAGAAGACTGTTCACAGGAATAAAAGAGGGGAAAGAGAGAAAAAGACACTTCGTCGTCAGATGTTGGCCGGCCGGCCGCATTAGCTGGCTAGACCCGTCACCGTCCAAGCGGTTCTTTACGTACTGCAAACCAAGCTCATTGCAGGAGAGGAGCAAGGGGTGGTTTTTCCTTCTGTCTTTGCATCGCGCTGGTGCGGGTAGGGCTGTGTTTTTTTCAAACATTGGGAATTGGGCGGCGGCAAAAAAATAGCCCTCCCCAGCATAGTACAAAAGCGGTGAAGTGTGTTTTCCTTCTCAGAGGAGGCTGGAAGGGCCGCCACTGGGTCGCGGAACAGATGATGCGGTCTGGGGAAAGCTGGGAACCTTTTGAAACCCCCCTGTCGTGATATAATCCGGGGTTCAAGTGGGCAGAAAAAACGCGCGCCGTGCTTGTCATAGGGGAGGCCTGGAATTAGCCAAGTCTGTACCACTGTGTGACAGTGGGAGGAGTCAATGGACCAGCGGGAACAGAATTCTCGGATGGCTGTCGCGTTTCCCTTGCTTGGTTACCGTTGGTGAGCAAGCCCGGCCTCAGACGTCACTTTGTTTCTCAGTTCCTCCGAACCACGGCGGAAAAGAAACGTGATGGCGATCTCGTCACTGAAAAGGGAGAAGGCCGTGACGAGGTTGGTCTCCCCGCTACGCCATCCAAACACGGGCGAGGGGGTTGAGCGTGGGGGGCGATATGGGCGGCGTATGGCGCTGATGTTGTGGAAAGGTCGTTGGCATTCCGAGGTCTTGGTCCACCGCAGCCATCAGCGGAGCGGCTCACACTCTCCTTATGCGTAACCATCGGAGGCTCCAGCTGAGCTCGTAACGGGGGCCATGAGGCGGGCAACCACCGTACGCAGATCCGCCCGAGAGCTGAGTCGCACGGGCAGACGAGGTCAACCACGGACCACAGGCGGCAGGCCGAGTGAAAGAGGGCCTCCGAGGAGACGATAGACCCTGTGCGAGAACGGGCTGGCTGTTCAAGTAACACTCAAAATCCCACGTGTGCCGTCGCCAGGTGTGCTTGTTTCCACACGAGTGCGTAATCTTCGCCCACCGGTGACCGAAACTGGAGCGGTTCCCGTGGTGGGTTTTGGGGCGGTGATAGGTGGTGATAGGTGGTGATAGGTGGTGATAGGTGAAGATATGTGGTGTGGTGGTTATCTCTTCCCCCGGACAGTATCCGAAAAGCAAACCCCACGGCCAGCGCAAGGTTCAAGGTTGATGCCCGACGACAAGTGCAAGGGTGTTCTAGCCGGGCTGGACTTCCTCTTGCTTTTGCTGCCCGCAGGGGAGGCGGTGAAACGGCAGCGTGAGAGTGAGAGCGAGCGCGTGAGGTTCCTTCTTCTCCTCTTCTCTGTCTCGGCTCTGGGGGTTCTCATGGTTTTCATGGTTCTCATGCAGCACCTGCTTGATTTGGAACTGGCAAGGCTTCCGTGGTGTCGGTGATATCAGAGAGAGGGTGTCGTCGGTGCCAAGGGAAATACTTTTGTCCTCTGGTGCCTGACACCAGTGTCAGCTGGAAAATGTCAAATGGCATTTTGCTGGTCAGGTCACGATGGGCCCCAAACCCATCTCTCCGCTTGCCCCAATCCCGGCTCGTCCCCGGCTTTCTGCTGATCTGCTCACCGGATCGGATCTGCAGAGCCAGTCCAGACCAATCTGCCAAGGTGGTGCCTAGCCTTCGGTGCGAGCCGGGAGCTTTCCAGGGCCTGTGCTTGGTTTTTGGGGGCGTGTCCAGTGCCTGACATGCGCTACCCGGCCCCCTTCTGCTGCAGCTCTAGCCCCTGTTCAGTTGGCACCTTCCAGTGCCTCCATGGGGATTTCTTCTCCTCCTTTCCTTCCGGATGCCCCCAAACTCACCCAACTTCTTTTTCCATTTCTTTTTTGATAATAAAAATTCGAGCACCTTCTCGCTGGGTGTCCCGTGCTTGGTTGGCTCAGGTTTGGTTCCAGATGCAGACGCCAGTGATGGAATTGGTTTGCGTCTCACTGGCATTGCCACTGCAATAAGCTTTTCCGTGTTTCTGCTCGTTGGCTGTTCGCCGGGCAGCCCTCGTGCTCAACCTTCGTCGTCCCATCCCAACGCTCATGGAGCACCTGGACCTACTCTGCTCTCCTCACTCGACTGGACATCAGACGGCTCTTTTCTTGCTGCCTCGCGGTGCCCTCCGGCCCCGAAGAGAGAGCGCACGAGCTGAGAGCAACAACGAGAGGGGCAAGGATCTACTCTCAACAACGGACCGTACTCTCGTTTGTGAACGGTACGTGAGAATTGTGCGGAAAGAGAAGAAGCAAATCAGCGCGTCGGGAGGGAGGGAGGGGGCTTCTTGCTTCTGGTTCATGACCCTGGATTTCCAACTCCCAGCCGTTTCCCCGAGACACAAACGACGCTCGCACTTCCGACCGGCCAGCCACCGACCCCTTCAGGCCTGGTCGCTCAAAGGCGCCAGTGAGGTGTGTCGTGTCGAACCAGGGAGGCCTTTGCCAAGCTGCTTGAAGCTGTAGGTAATACGTCCGGGGTTAGCCCTCCCTCCACAGGATGCGCGCCAGAGACTTATATCCCAACTTCTGTCACATCATCACCGCCCCCTGTCACTTGTCCATCATGGCCCAGATGCCTGAGCTCATGTCGCCCGTCCTTGTCTCAACTGACGCTTATCTTTTGTCTAGGTCCTCGCCCTGATCTATCTTGCTCCGGCCATCCCGCCGGCGTTTGCTCTCAGGTTTTGGCTAGCCTCATGCTGTTTGTCAACCAGCTTGCCTTCTCAGATCTGCTGGAGATGTCTGTCTGATCCGGCTTCACCTACCGTCAACTAATCCCTTCGCCTTTCGCAACAATGGAGGCCATGGCCATGGCTATGTTGCTGCCCAAGGGCATTGTCGAAAACACGCGCGAGATATACAAGGAGGTGGCGAGCTATCCCATCGTCCCTCCAGAGAAGCTATGGCAATATTGGAATGGTATTTGAGCCGACGACGCCCTTGGAAACCGGTGCCAAGACTCTTGACTAACACGCACATCTCTAGTCTACACAACAACCTCACGAAAGCTTTTTGACCCAACCGCGTACAGATTGGAACACTTTTGGTGGCATGTTTGGGGAAGTGACAGACGATATCTCAGCGGGCCAACGCTTGCCAAACTGTTCGAAGAGGTCTCCCATGGCCCGACATTCGTCCCTTTACGATCTGTTAGAAACAGATACGAAGGGCCATCGGTAGGCCGCCTTTGCATTGCTGCGGTCGTTGACAGAGAAACTGATAAACTGGACAGGGCCACAGCGATGCACGTAATCATGGCAGAGGAGACGCAAAAGCAGTCTCACGGCAGGGGCAGCCCAATCAAAACTCGGACCAGCAGAGATCAGCCCCTGTTGGCGGAATGAAGCTACCGACGCCGTCGTCTTCGAGGCCACCCCCAGCCCACCCGATCTTGAAGAAGAAGAATAGAGGGCCTTCTGGATCAAAACCAAGGCCAACGGCTCGATTCGTGGACCCGTCTGCTTTTCAAGAGCTTATCATTCCCCCTTTGACCGAGCCAGTTGCGCCACAGCAGCTCCCGTCCTCGCCTCCGGGCGAGCCGGTCGCCAAGAAGAACAGGGCGGTGGCAGTTGTTGATGAAGCGCAAACTCCTACTGCAGTCGACATGCCGCCGCCGCCGAAGCCTTCACCTCGCGTCACAGAGATGCCTCCCCCGCCAAAACCATCACCAAAGCGAAAGAATGTCCCTTCGGCCGTGACGGTTGCCGGTGGAACCGACGTCCGTCCACCGCCAATCTCACCAGCCAAGCCCGAGAGAGCTGCGCCGCCGACAGGGAGACGGATTGTTGCCAGCACAGCAGCATCGAAGAGGCGTCCAGTCATGTCGAGGAGACAGAGCTCCCAAAGCTCAGGGGGCACAGGAACGCGCGTCGTCAGCCCGGCCACCGCGGCGCTGGTGAAGCAGGTGGTGGCGCAAAAGTCCAAAGGACAAGAAGGAGTCGGCCACCAAGATTCGGCCATAATATCTTCATCAACGGAAAGCCAAGGGGTTGTTCCCCCCATCAGTGCAAAGTCAGCTGGGAAACGGCCAGCCAAAGCCCCAATAGATCAACCAGTCACCACTGCGCAGAACGTACACCCACCCCCTAATCAGGCAGATGGCCGGCATAATCGTCCTCTTCTAGC